CAAAAGAAAAGAGAAGAACCTGGTTCTTACAGGCACAATACCAGAAAATGTTGAGGACGAAAACATTGCGTTAATGACCAAAAGGTTCTCAAGAATGTTAAAAAAGGGACAGGTGTACCACAAAAGGAACTCTCCGAAAATCACTAAAAATCCAATAGAGTATGTCACAAGTGTGGAAGTCCGGATCACTTTGTCAAGTTTTGTCCATTAAATGCTCTTGAGAAAAAGAGGAATAGTTCAGAAAAAAAAAAAGGAAATCAAGAATGATAAGTACATTCCCACAAACAGAAGAATGACCAATCAAGAAGCGGATCTTTCAACGAGAAGACCCTTTGACGCTATGGGGGACTTATCTGAAGAAGAATTTGAGGATGAAGGGTTCGAAAATCATTCACTACTTGCAATAGAACAATCAAATAAATATGATTTTCGGTGAAGAAGAATTTGAGGATGGAGGGTTCGAAAATCAGTCACTACTTGCAATAGAACAATCAAATAAATATGATTTTCTTGCACTCATTGCTGAAACAGATTCTGAAGATGATGAAGAAGATGACAAACAAAGCAAGGTAAGTTTTCATCACATCAAAGTAAATATTGAATCATATTCTAAAAAGGAACTAGAGTCCTTATTGAGTACTCTTATAGATGCATATCAGTCTGTCAATTCTGAAAGAGAACAAGTGATGGAAAACTATGCATCTTTAAGAGAAGTCAATGACAATCTTGAGAAACACAATCACTTTCTTCAAAATAAATTAAAAGAACAGATTAAAATCTCAGAGTTAAGTCACAAGGGCAAAAACTCTGCTAGTGAACTTCAATTAGCTCTAGAAGAAAAAATAAAATTGTTAACCATAAAATGTCAAGCTTTAACAGAAAGGAATAGGTTGCTACAAGAAAATCTTGATCATACCAAACTGGATCTGGAAAGAAATCTTAGATGGACCAGGTCCTCTGAAATTTTAACTCAGATTCAAGAAAGGAAAACCACTAGTCAAAGTGGGATAGGTTTTGAAAAACAGAATAATCTTGTGTCACACACTATTCACATGTATAAAAGTTTATGCACTCATTGTGGAAACTCAGGTCATTTACAGAATCAATGTAAAGCTTTATTTGAGGCTTTTCAGAAAAATTTTAAGTTCACCAAAAAAGAAAAGACTGATACAGCTAAGAACCTGGTTCGAAATAAAAATGCTCCAAATAAAAGGTTTTCTTATTTGCCTTTATGGGCTAGAAGAAATCTTATTCATCCTTTTAATCACATAAAGGGGCCCAAGCTAATCTGGGTTCCCAAGACTAATGTTTGACTAGTGTTTCAGGTGAAGGTGAGAGGGAAAAGGCCAACTTGGTACATGAATAGTGCATGCTCCAAACATATGCTAAAAATGGTAGAAAATTTCCTCTCGCTCTTTGATTTTCAAGGAGGCAGTTTATTCCTTGAAAAGGATGAGAAAAAATGAAAGAGACAAAAAAAAAGTTGAAGAAAGTGACATGATATCAAACATCTTTAATGATGCAAATTTAGGGAACACTGCATATGAACCTGGTTCACATTTAACAATCATTGATGCAACTGCAACATGAATTACTACTAATCTATGGTTCTGGAGATTGGGGAAATAATAGAGCAATCGGGACTGTAAGAGTATGCTACCTTTAGGGGGAACTTTGTTGTGTGAACATGGTCCTTGTTGTTCATTGGAAGGTATTTAAAATTGACAAGGGTTGGTTCTCTATGACAACTTGAGATTCGTTTGATCTTGGAGAATATGATGATGTGACATTCTCATAGGGCCTTGAATATGAAAAACTTGAGAAAAATCAGTCAAAGCATGGTCTTATCGAAACAAGTACACACTCAAATCACATCTCAAACAAAGTTTAGAAAGTCTGCGGATGTTATCTCTTCTCTTTGCTAACACCATTAAGTAAATCATGAAGAAACACAAAAAAAAGGGAACCTGGTTTCTCTGTAATACTCAGGTATGTACCATCCTTTTTCAATGCATTAATTTCCTGAGTTTGGGTCAAACATAAGCACTAATGAACCTGGTCGATCATCAAAAATTCAACTTTCTTAAAGATCACCAAGAACTCTCTTTGACAATAAGCATCGTTCAATCTCAAACTGCTCTAATGATGAAAATCTCAATATTGAAGTCACTCATGCTTTAATTTAGGGGAAACCTTGCTTTACCACCCACATCTGGACCAGGTTCACAAACTCCAAATTGATATTTCATTCATTCCAAGTGTATAACTTGTCTATCTCTCAGGGGGAACAATTCTCACATAAATAAATTGTTGCTTGCTTTCATTATTGATAAACACATCTCTTTGTGCACCAAAATGTGATGAATCTCTTACTGGTAGTTGGTACTCCTTCAAAGTTGTCATCAAGAAAAAGGCTATAAAAAAAAGGAAAGAAAATCATGGAGGAATGAAAATGTTACGCAGTAGAGTTTAACAAAAAAAAGGTGATGATGTATCTCATGTTTCTCTTGATGAAATTTCACATTCTAAGAAAACTGATCAGAATAAAGAAGCTGGTGCACAATGGGCATACTGAAAAAAAATTATCAATGGCAGTAAATATCCCTTTCTTCCTCACTTTAGTAATCTTTATCCCAATCCTTATCCTCAAATTTTAGACTCTTTTGACTCTTTGATGTGCTTATGTTTGTCTCATACTCATGATATTATATGTTTTTGATTAAGGGCATAAACTGGTACATATTTATTTATTTCGTTTCTCATTGAAGATCTTAATTGTGTATGAGTTTAAGATGACTAATATCCTCAGATTAACTAACCATTTTGTTAGCAGAAGTGTACTTGAAAGTGTTGCCCAAGTGGCTATGAGTTAAAAATGATATTACACTCATTGAATGTTATTCGAGTTCTTTGGTTATTGGTTTTCAATGATGCCAAAAGGGGGAAATTATATAATGTGGATAGACATATGCATAGTTTGTCATCATCAAAAAGGGGGAAATTGTTGGGGAATGAGAAAACATGAAGTTTGTAGTTTTGATGGATGACAAAGAATTGAAGTTTTGATCACAAACAAAGAGTCTTGATGTGTAACAAATCATTGGTTATCATCATCAAAAAGGGGGAAAATGTTGGGAAGTAGTAGAACAAATAAAGTAGTTTTGATGATTTATAAAGTGAAGGCATGGTGTCGTATGTGTACAATTATGAGAGATTGCGGCGAAGAAGAAAAAGTATTGAGGCAGAATTGTAAAGAAGGAAAAGAAGGAAACAAATATGAAAATAAATGAAGAAGGAAAGAAATTAAAAAGTAGCAATTCAAGCCAAAGAAGGAAAGAAATAAAAAAGTAGCAATTCAAGTCAAAGAAGGAAAGAAATAAAAAAGTAGCAATCCAAGCCAAAGAAGGAAAGAAATAAAGAAATTACAATTCAAGTCAAATAAGAAAAGAAGTAAATATAGACAAGTTCAACAAGAAAAAAGATTTGTAATTCCTTTCCTTGTAGAAGTTGAAAGCAAATCAAATCTATAAAAGGATCAAGAAGTTGAAGGAAAAAAGTGTCTTTGCAATCACAAAAATCGAGAGAATTTTTCCAGCAAAGCCAGAAGGATAGGTATGGCATATTCACGAAATATATCATCTTGAGAGCAGTATTTTATGGAGAAAAAACGCAGGCCTTTGTTACAGAAACGCAAGGACCAGGTTCACCTTCATCACAACAAAATAAGGACCAGGTTCACGAAACCTGTTTTACTCAGAACTATTGGATATTGAAGTTTGATCAATTAAAGTCTAGGGTTATTAGTCTTTATTGATTTGTTCTAGGTTTATTATTGAGTTGTAATAACTCCTAGATTTGTAACAAGAAGTGGGTTTGACTTCTTGGGAGTTGAATCTTGAGAGAATTGTAACAAGAAGTGGGTTTGACTTCTTGGGAGAGAGGTTGTGAGAATTGTAAACAAGAAGTGAGTTTGACTTCTTGGGTGGTTAGATTTAACAAGAGTTGAGAGCTTTTGTAAACAAGAAGCGAGTTTGACTTCTTGTTGAGTGGAGAGTTTTCGATTATAGTTAATCGAAAAGGGTAGAAGTTTAAAGTTAGATTCATTGATTAACTGAGTTGTAAATCTTGAATAATAGAAAACTGCGGTGTTGTTTTTCCCTTCCTTGAGTTAGGAAGGTTTCCACGATAAATCTTTGTTTTATTGTGTTACGACAAAATTACAAGAACCTGGTTCTTGTTCTAGGGGTAAGGTTTCTTCAAGTGTGATTAGCATGTATGTACGATACTAGATACGCGATACATGTATATGATGTGATGCATCCCAAATATACGAGCGAGATAAGAGAGTGGCGAGCAAGATGGGAGGAAGGCGAGGGCGCGAGATTTGTCACATGTGAATCCATTTGAATAGAGTGTATTTAGAACAAATCTAATTTTGGGTTCATGTATCTGAATTACCAAATTTTTGTAAGATTCGTAATATTACGATATAGCAAGTCATAATCAAGCCTTAAGAGCCAAAGATTTATATGAATCGGACTTGTAACTTGAAAAATTCTGCCTCAACTCTACCCCAATAAATATAATAGATTGGATTGGGCCAGCCTCATGGGTTAAGCCCATTTCGGAGGTTCTACTCCTTTCCAACAATAGTTGTTTACTTTATGAAATCAAAGAATAATTTTTTACTTAGTTCCTAATTTATCTTTATCGTCAATTATTATTATTTTCGTATCATATTTTTTCAAGACATTGTCTTTATTATATTTAAAACACGATATAGTAAAATTAATTTTATTTATAATTTCTTAAGAAATGTGCAAAGTCAATAATAAAAAAACATTTTAAATATCGTAATCAACTAATAACACAAGAATAATGATACCAAATGGTTTTATAAATTTCTTTTTTTTAAAAAAAAAGTGTTTTAAAAAATAAAAAATATAGATAAATAATTGGAGCAGTGGAAGGAATGGTCGTCAAACGAAAACAACAAGAGTAGGTAGCAGAGGAAAGGAAAGAGACAATTTAATAAATTCACGGGCATTTTCTCTTTGTTAGTAACTGCACAGTGCAGAGAAGCAGTGTCTGTGATCCAACGCCCCTTCACCTCTTTTTCTTCAACTACCACATTTAAATCCTTTTTCCTAATTCAACTTCATCCTTGGAATAATCTGTTTATTGATGTGGGATCTGACCTAGTAGTAGCAGCAGCAGCTACTATCATAAGTGAAGAGGAGCGAGCAGTTATTGTGTTTGTTCCTTTTTTCTTCATTTCCACTTCCATACACAAGTTGAAGTCTTAATCCATTTGTCTTGTAGATTTGAAGCAACATCCCGTAGCTACTTGGACATGCCTCCAGACAGCCTGAGATCAGCCGTGTACAGATCCTTTATAACCTGTGATGATCCCAAAGGTGTTGTGGAATGTAGCACAATCAGAAAATCACACATGGAAAAAAATACGCCTTGTTCATCACACAAGGATGAAGGAAGACAAACAGTCAATCACACATCTTCCTTCCACCTAATGGAGGTGTCCAGGGAAGCTCAAAAGCTGAACCAAGTGATCGACTCATGGTCTAAGGGTATGACCATAGAAAGGCATTCGAATGATATCGCTAAAGATTTGTTGAAAGGAGCCCTTGAATTACAGGAATCACTTGTGATGCTAGGAAAGCTGCAACATATAGCAAAGTTGAAGAAGAAATATAAGCATGAACTTGATGGAATACCCATCCAAAGAACCAAGTCTGAAAGGATTTCAGAACACAGGTTAAACAGGTTTGAGTTTCAAAAACCAAGATTTTCTGTTGATGGGGATTGTTTTGATGAGCTTAGGGAAGTCATAAGAGATAACTTTGCTAGACAACCAAATTCTGCTTTACAGTTTCAAACAAATAGTGAAAAGGCATCTGTTGGTACAAGGATTAAATCATCACATGTCCCATCCACTAGTTCAAGCCACTCCTCCATTGTTCAATCCCAACAAGTTTCCCCGCCACTGGACGGGCCAAATTTAATTGCCAGACTGATGGGTCTTGAAGAGATTCCTAGCAAGTCCCAACACCAAACTACCCACAAGGTTGTCAAGCAGATGAGACCTATATTTGAAATAGATTTGCCAAAAGCAAAGAAGCCAACATTCATCAGTCATAAGGTGGATCCAAAACGAAAAACATTTGATGAAATAATTGAAACCATGTATTTCAAGGGGCTTTTGAGAAGCAAGTCTACACATAAGTTTGTTGATTCTCCACCCATTGTGATCATGAAGCCTTTATATGAACAAAATCCATCAGACTCTAGAAACAAATGTGAAGAAATTTCACCTGATGATCACAAGGGAGCATCCATATATAGGAAAACGCAGGCAGGAAAAGATCATAATAATAGATTCAGCAAAGAAAGAGGTGAAGCACCTTCAAAATCAAAGACTCTTCAAGTTTTGATTCAGCCTAATACAAAGATTATAGCTTCTTCTCCTGGAAAGCACCGTGGTGAAGCAAATGCAAAATCAAAAACATTGGATTTCGTGAGTCAAGAAAAACAGCATAATAAAAACATTAGAGCTTCTTCTCCAGGCAAGGATCTTGGTGAAGCACCTGCAAACTCAAAGACGCTTAAACTTCTTCTTCAAGAAAAATATCCTAATGCAATGATCAAAGCTTCTTCTCATCGCAAGTATCTTGGTGACGCAACAGTTAAAGTTTTCATTCAGGAAAAACAGCCTAATACAAGGACTAGAGCTTCTTCTCCTGAAAAGACTCCGCAAACAAAGAAAGAACCAATTGGAAAAAGAGAGGACGGGACTCAACGAGTAGCTCCTGCTATCAGAAACTCTAAAGAAATGAAAAATGCCAAAATAGACGACAGTGCTAAATTTCAGGACCAAAGCAAGATGAGCACTCTGAAAGTGAGAAAACCAGAGAGAAAGCCATTGGCTGCACAAGCAAAAAGTACTATATATGATCTTAAGCGTATCACAACCACTGCATCTCATAACTCCATTAAGAGGAAGAAGAATGTTAAAGCTAACAAGCCCATCAAGAGTACCCCCATTGCTACAGTGAGTACATAGTTATAACTTATATTTTTGAGTTTTAACCATCTTTATTCTGGAAGCTATGTTTCTCATTTCTCATGTTATTATTTATTGTCCTAGTTCCCTTCTTAATTTTAACACATGTTTAGGGGACACTATTCTGTACATGTTGGTCCTCATGTGGAATTAACTATGGAGGTTTTCATTTTATATATTGATACAGGTTGCCGATATAAAACACAAGGATGAAAGTAAAGAAATGGTGCAGGCAGAAGATAAAGACACAGATAGAGCCATAACCAATGTTACATCCTCAGAAGAGCTTCAGTTAGAAAAAAGGGCTAATATCTTTGAGGATCTTGTCACCGGTAAGGCACACACTTCATTATTTAGCAAGTTTCATGCAAACGTTCTGGTAAGTTTAGAAACAATTTTTCAACTATTCATCATACATAGGCTTGTCGAGTGACTATAACATTGAGTGTTGCAATGGGGTTAGATATATATTCTAGACATTGTTCAGCAAACAAGAATTATATTATCTCGATATCTAGGAGACCAAATATGAATGGTATTTATATTCTACTTTTGCAGCTTAGAATATTTTCTTTCTTCTGAACTTGGGAATAATGATATATACGATGATAATATAGTAGTTTAGTCGACAGCACAGCAGCTTTGTATAACCATAACATTAAATGAAAGATTTGGCGGACTCAAAAGCTTCCAGAAACTCTTTATGTATATGTGCAGTTGAGAATGAAGATGATGTTCTGATATTCTTGAGAAGCTGTTTTCTAGTAAGACTTATGAATTATATCTTGATAACTCGATTACTGTCTTTCTGTGTGGAAGTTCCAAATCTGTAATGAGATACAATCTGGTAGCTAGATTCTTAGAGAACAAGTGTTGAAATAACCTGCTAGAAGTAATTGAAGTGGTCTAACACACTTCAACCTTTTGAAGCCACACAGAGTGTTATATTAATGGTACTTTCTAACATCTGTCTCTTTCTTCTTCCATACCTTAAGAACCATGATAGAAGCTATAACACATGGATGTAGCTACTTATAGTCATCACTCAAGCTTCAAACAGCCCTTTAGTTATCTTTTAGGAAATAAATTCTGCACACAACTTGTGGTTGATCCAAGAAGATTTATCAGTTGACATTGTGAAAATATTCTAAAATATTACTTCTTCAATTGCAGATAATGCTGTCAATGGTGAAAATGTCCCTTGTGAATCCAGCGTTCTATCAACCTATTGTCTCGGTGACATCAAATTAGTGGAGCAGATTAACTGTAACATCAATCTAGACTTCACTGAGAATGTAAACTTCAATTCCGGAGCAACTACAAGGTATTTACTTTTGAGCAGTGAATCGTTCCTCTGTCAGTCCAAGGAGCTTTTTGAAACAGATGTGTGGGAACCAACTGTATGGCAGACAACTAGCGTAGATCATGAAATTGCTGATAGCACACTCTTACTTGATTGTGCAAATGAGTTATTAGAAAATAAAAGGTCCCAATGTGCACTGGCAGTTAATCCGTTATCAATGAAGGCCATTAAGATGAGAAAATTTTATGTATCCTTTGAAAAGTTGGTGAAAGAAATTTGTGATGGGATTGAAGTTCTGCGAAGTTACAACAAGGTAGCTGGCAAGAACCTTTCAGCTGATGCTCTTTATCCACTGCTAGAAAGAGATCTATGGTGCAAGGGGGTTGCCGGCAGTGCATGGGATCTGGCCTGGAGAACTGGATTAACTAAAAATGAAGTTGAACAAGTGCTAAATGACATAGAGAAGTATCTTTTAGCTGCATTTATTGATGATTTGTTGACGGACTTCATGCTATAGCACTAGTACGTATTCAGGTCGGCCATTTAGGAACTTGACTTATATAATATGTAAAGTTTGAGAAACTTTAAAGTTGTCTCTGTGTGATCTATTGGTCATGGGTTCGAGCCACGGAAGCAGCCAGTGTAGGTCTACATCACACCCCTTGGGTTGCGGCCATCCCTGGACCCTGCTAAGGCAGAATGCTTTGTGCACTGAACTGCCCTGCCCTGCCCCGTCCCGTCCTGCCCCACTTATATAATTTGTAAATAATAATCCAATAGAGGAGTTGAAAAAGGGTTTTAAGAAGCTGAGGAGTTGAAGGTACTAGATTAAATTACGTTTCAATGCTGAGTTGATATTATATTTGTACATTTCTTGCTGATATAGTTATGTAAATGTAGTGAATCTAGATATGATTTGTTCTATTGCAATTTTGAAACTTGATCAGCTTTGTAGAGTTTATCGAAGCAACCAAACATCACAATCTTGATGAGAAACCACGTTTCTGCAATAAAACAATTTAATTACAACTTCATTTAGAAGGATGCAATATAATTTTTAGTTATATAACTTGTAAGAGTTGGTGTTTCAATTAATTTTGAAACAAATTCATCTGTTACAAGTTTTGAAATAACAAAATACATGAATGAAAATTGTAATATTCATTTTGTGTTAATTCTAGGGAGAAGATACAAGTACCTCTAGACTATGACCGAAATTCCAGAGACACGCAATCTTAACGAAATTAAGGTCCTATTACCCCTGACTCATTCTTTTTTGTAATTTTGTACACCTTTTGGCATATGTGTCACATCCTGTGAGTCCATGCAGTTGAGGCGCGTGGGAGATATTTGAATGCCACGTAAAACAAAAAGATATAGAAAATTACAAAAATATTGAGTTCGGGGGGGGGGGGGGGATAGTCTAGAGAGGTACTTTTACCTTTTTCCTTGATTCCACATTATAGATTTTTTAAAAGATAATTCTACGTTTGAAGCTTTTGAAAGATAAGTTTTTCTTTCAATTGATGAACCTATAATAAACACTATTTAATTAAAAGTCTTTTCTAGCAAAACTTTTGTACTATAAATTGAGTTTCTTTTGATTGAAAAGAGAAGCACTCAATAATTACTTTCCCTTGAAAAACATTTGTGAGACGTTAATCAAAAGGTGAAGTCACCAATTCAAGAATAAAAGAGCAACAATCCTGAATGCTACTTGTTTTGTGACTTGGTTGAATTCCGAAGATAGAGTTGTTATTTATTCTTCCGTTTGCTTGTGGAGAGACTCCAACAATCTTCAAGAAACGTATTAATGTTTCTCTAAGCCAAGCAAGTTTTGTTTTGAGTTTCTTGTATTTTTATCTTTATTATTCAGTTGTTCGAAAGGAAGTTTTTTTTTTGGATTCCTTGTATTTTTATCATTCTTATTCAGTTGTTCCAATAATTTGAACATAATTGTTTCTATGAAATCAACATCATTACCAAACACTGTTCCAAATTTGCCTAATCCTAATTTTGAAATATTTGATGGTAAGGACTTTTTCAAAATGGTGTGGAAAGATGTAATTATTTTTAAGAAGATTAAAGTAGTCATATGTTCTTGAGAAACCTTGTCATGAGGCTGCTAGTTCTAAGGTACCAACGGAAGAGGCTACATTAATTAAAGAACAAATTGTCAAATGGCAAGATGATGATTACTTATGCAAGAATTATATCCTTGGAGGAATGTCCAATAAATATTATGATTAATTAATATTATATTAAGTGCAAATTTGCTGAGGAGACTTGTGATACTCTTAAAGCTATCCATTTAGCAGAAGAGGCGAGTTCAAAGAAATTTCTTGTCTCAAATTATATGGAGTTTGAAATATTGGATGATAAGTCAATCACTGAAAAAGTAGACAAATTTCAACTTATAGCTAATAAAATTGCTATATATGGAATTGCTCTTTATGAAAACTTTCTATATTGGTGCTATTGTTTCAAAACTTACTCCATCTTGTAAAGAGTACAAAAGTAACTCTTACACAAGAAGGAAGGTTTGACTCTTGAACAATTATTGTAGCACTTGCAAATTGAACAAGAGACACGACATCATGACGACAATAACATCTTCAAAGAACCTATCATGAAAGCTCATGTTGTTGAAAAAAAATCGACCAAGAAGAACCTCACAATATTAAATTTTTGAAGGCAAAAAAGAGTATGAATTTAAACCGTACTAATTCCAATTCGAAGTGGAATGAATGTTATTATTGTCATAAAAGTGGCTAACATGCACGTGAAAATTTTTACGACTAGAAGAAAGAAAACAAAAATAACAAAAAAGAAAAAAGAACTTGTGGCAATGGTCACAAAAACATTTATAGCGAGGGATCAAGTGGAATGGTGGATAGACACTGGTACAACTCGTCATATATCATGTAATCGAAATTCTTGCACGACCTACGATTAATGTGTGTGTGTGTGGGGGGGGGGGGGATAAAGTTTTGGATATGGGAAACTCATCTTTTGCTAAGTTGTGGGAAAAGGAACTGATGAACTGAAATTCACTTCTGAAAGGATGATCACATTGATAGACACATTGCATGTTTTGGATATTCGAAAAAGTTTGGTTTCAGGTACACTTATTTTGAAGTATGGTTTTAAAATAATTTTTGAAGCAGATATGTTTGTTAAAAAAAATTATGCTACAAATGGATTTTTTATATTCAATATTGAAAATGAAAATATTTCTGCTTGTGGAGTCTTTAGAGCTATGACAGCAGCGTCTTGGTTATGTGAATTTTAGATCCATTCAATTTATTATGAATATTTTTCCACGATACTAATATCATTAATAATTTTTCTCTCTCTCAGTTTAGGCGCACATTTAGTGTGCACTAACTTACACCTTGCCGGAAATGGGGAGGGGACGACTACACAGAGCAGCGCAAAGACATCGCTAGGAAGAAATACTTCATGGAACTAGCACTATGACTAATAAAACAACGCATGCTGCAAAATAAAGGTCCGAGACAGCTCCGAACACACCAGAAGAAACCAACAATATTTCGGAGGTGAAGTCAGTCAAGAGCAAAGGGGAAACTGCAAGGGAGGAACAATAGCCGGAACTAACGCAATATAGAGGAACTAGAGGAAACAACATCCAATCCTTGCAAGGAATGAAAGAAATAGTAGTAGAGGACAGATCTGCAATTAAGCTGAAATGCCTGAAAAAACACCAGAGAAACCATGGGTGAACTTGTTTGCTACGAACCGTATGGCTGCTAGAGGTATGAATTTAACGTACATACCTCCAATAATTGTCGAAGGAGAAAAGTTAGTGGAAATACTGGCTGAGGATATAGCTCAGGATGAAGTGAAATGGAAACCTTCAATGGTTGTCTATGTGGTGGGTACTGCACCATCAATAGGATCTATGGAGAGATTCATTCTAGGTTAGGGTAATTTCTCTAGTAAACAAGTGGTACTGTATCATGCTGATGGATACTTGGTCTTAAGGTTTGCAAATGAGGAAGAAAGGGATAGAGTGATATGTTCAGGACCTCATTATTTACTAAGGAGACTAGTTATTATGAAGCCATGGAATTCAGATTTTAACTTTTAAGGAGGAAATCCTTACTACAATTCCATTGTGGGTCAAGCTTCCGAACCTGCCTTTGAACTGCTGGAACTCTGTTGTGCTTAGTAAAATAGGTAGTAGTTTGGGGAAGCCTTTGTATGCAGATGAATGTACAACACAAACTAGTAGAATCTCCTTTGCTCGAATATCTAATGTGATCAAGATTCAGGATCCAAAGGGGAGAATTGTTGAGCAACAAGTGGAAGCCATTTTTCTGCGAGAAATGCTTACAAGTGGGACGTTGTTGTGATAAATCAGGAGTACCGCCACCAATGAAAGGGCAGGCCCAAGGGCCAAGAAAGGAATGGAAGCCAGCAGTAGGAAAGGAGCTGGTTAAGGACAGTGATCAACAGAAAATTGGAAAATTGACACCGGACCAGGAAGAATGACAAACTGTGAGGCGTATAGCAGCAAAGAAAGGAGTAACGCAGACAGTGTATACTGGGCATGATGAAAATACAAATACTGAGGTCAATGTCTGTGGAACTGGGCAACATTGTGGAAGACTAAAGGTTGTTACTCATGAGGCACCCCAAAAACCCCTTAATATAATATGCTAGTAGCATGTGTGTGTTGAGAATATGTCTCACGATATTATATTGCAGTAATAAATCAGTTAGCAATTTTTAGGATTTTAAATTTATTTTATTAGAGTCCTATGTGACTTGAATTTAAGAGTTAGCTCTTTTATTTATTACTAGTTTCCGAGCGCGCCGAGCACGCTCTTTGCGCGTGTAACCTATCAGTATATTATTTCTTAAAAGATAATATTACTAAATAATAAAATATGTCTAATTAAGATTTCTTACTTTGTTTAACTATTAATTGTGACACTCCAATTTTCTGACCTCCTAGTGAATGCATCGAAATAATAATATGAAAAATTAATAAAATAAACTTCATTTATAATTCAAAAATAAGTTTACAAAGCAAAAAGGAAAAATAACAACTATCTAAATTAAATTTCTCGATAGTTCAGTTTTATTGGTAGAATAATGTTAGAAGAAATAGTGTAAGATTAACTTTGAGTGAAAGGAAAACAAAACCTTTCAATTTTTTACTTTGCCTTTTGAATCTCATGACTATTATAATGAATGTGTTTAAAGTATTGTATTAAATTTTTATCCACAAACACTTTAAACTAATTAGTTAACTATAAATATTTAAAACTGTGATGTAAAAAGTCTTATTATTTATATTTTGAAAATCAGAATATTTATGAATAACTACTATTTTTATAAAAAAATTAATTTTCTCTTCATACATAACTTATTCACCATTAATCTAATATTATATGTTTCACCTTTTTTTTCCATAAAAAGAAAAGAAAAGAGTAAACATCCTATTTTATCACATTCATTCTTAAAGATGAAAAATAATGTATATGTAAAATTATAAGTACGAAGCAAAAAAAAAAGAAAAGAAAAGATACAAATGAGCAAGATAATTAGGCATTTCATTTTATTTTTGTCTCCATAGTGAAACTGAACATTTGAGCATACAAAATACAAATATGAATTTAGAGCAATTTGCTAATAAAATAAGAATTCAGCTATATGAAGAGAGACAAAAAAGTCTTATTATAATTCTTACTACAAATAAGTATAGAACTAACACATCGAGCTCCGATGCTTCAGTAATTGAATTCTTGTCTATTCTCGTGACTGCAGAAGGGAATCTCACAACTTTCACCACAAATTGTGACATTATTTCACATGTTTAGAGTTCCTACACCAAGAATTGTAGGAGTGGTAAATAAAAGTTTTTCTTGAAAAAGTTAAATTTATAGAACAAAATTTTGGAAACATGAAAAGTCACATGAATTATTGTTAAAATAAATATAAAAAAGATAGAGATGAAATTTAATTTTAAAGATACATGAATCTACTTTGTTAAAATAAATATAAAAAAGATAGAGATGAAATTTAATTTTAAAGATACATGAATCTACTTTAATTTCTTGTCTATAAGGAATAATTACTCATTTTTATTTTATTTACATTTGTGTTAGAAATTTGAAAGATCATGATTAGGGAATGAGAATAAGAAGATTATATATATGAAAATTATAAAAGTTTTAATTTATTAGAGGGGCAAAATAGTAATTCAACTTTTAAATTTTGAGCTTCATGCTTATAATAATATATGATTTGAATTTTACTGATAAGTTAGTAACATATTTTTATATTTTTAGTTAAAAATTATATCTATAAATGTAAGTCTTTTGATTATTAATAAAATAATTCCTTTTGATAATACTGAAGTATTTTTCTCTCAAAATCTTTGTCTCTTATTTTCTTAATTTCTTTATTAAAAAAACAACAGCCTGGAATGTTAGGGGGTTCAACAAAAAGTCAAACACCAGGAGCTAAGGTTGTTTGTTAAGAGGAATAAAGTAACCATTATAGCAATTTTCAAACATAGAGTTAAAAAAGAGAAAGTTGGGAGTATTATCAATAAAATAATGCCAGGATTGTTGTGGTGCACAAATGCTACAAATGAAGTTAGAGGCAAAAATTGGATTGTATGGAAAATAGTATGGTCAAATTCACAAGGGTGGAATCATCAATTCAATATGTACATTGCATGGTAGATATGCAACAAAGTGGTTTTAAATTTTTGTTAACAGCAGTATATGGCTTGCAAAGCATAGCTACCAGTAGCTCATTATGGGAAAAGGTAAACCAACTGAGCACACACATCAGGAAACCATGGCTGATCATGGGAGATTTTAACTCAATTTTGGCATAAGAGGATAGACCCATTGGGAGTCAAGTACAACTGGCAGAAACCAATGATTTTAGAGAATTCATGATTCACAGTAATATCAGAGAACTACACACAGTAGGGAGACAATATACATGGAATAATGGGCATGTATTTAGCAGGATAGACAGAGCACTGGTGAATGATGAATGGGTAATCAGAATGCCACCATTACAAGTGATGGTGATCGACCTCCTCTTTTCAGACCACTCCCCTTTGAGTATGGAAGTAGAATCACAAAGGGACGTAAGGAAGAAGCCATTTAGATTTTATTACTGCTTAGCACAACACCCTGATTTCAAACCCAAAATACAGACAAGCTGGCAGAGACAAAATGGAGGAATGCAGGGGGTGTGGAATAATCTGAAGATTGTAAGAAGAGAATTGCAACATTTAAGCAAAAAGGAGTTTGCAGGGGTCACAGGAAAGGTTCAGCAGATACGAAGAGCACTTGTGGCTAAACAGAATCAAATGCAAAATACACCTATTCCACAACACATGATAGAAGAAGAGAACGAGATGAGGGCACAATTGACCAAATGGAGCTTGATTGAAGAGTCCATCTATAAGTAAAAGTCTCGAATGCAATGGCTCAAATTGGTTGACTCAAATACTGCATATTTCTTTGCAAGTATGAAAGGAAGGAAAGCTCAGAATCAAATCATCGAAGATGCCATAAACAACAGATCATACAATTGAGTTTTGCTGATGATCTTCTTTTGTTTAGCAGAGGAGATGCCCAATCAACTGTCCTATTGTAAGAATGCTTTCAGCAATTTTCACAAGCATCAGGTTTAATAGCAAATCAGGCCAAAAGTTGTGTATATTTGGGTGGAGTGTCAGAACAAGAACAACATTTGATATTGCAACATACAGGCTTCGTAAAAGGAAATTTACCATTTAGATATCTTGGAGTCCCTCTAAGCTCCAAAAATTGTCAATAAGCCAATGTCAACCACTTCTAGACAGGACGCTAGGAAGAAAAAACACATGGACTACGAAATTTCTATCTTATGCAGAGAGGCTTTATCTGGCACAAACTTTGCTAACTTCCATTCAAGCATTCTGGGCGCAAATATTCTTACTCCCCAAAAAGTGTTGCAGTAGGTAGAAGCGATATGCAAGAGATTCCTATGGAATGGTGATACACAAACTAAAGGGAAAGCTCTTGTAGCATGGGATACAATTTGTTAACCAAAAGTTGTTGGAGGCCTGGATATTACAGATGTGTATGTGTGGAACAAAGAAGTAATACTCAACTATCTGTGGGATTTGGCTAAGAGATAGGATAAGTTACGGACTGTATGGGTCCATACTTACTACATCAAAGATAGGAGACATTAGAAGTACAAGCTAATCAAGCCTTTTGGGTTGTGAGCGTGGAGTTCCTACCCAATATAGTTTTTTTCTCAAAGTCCTAATTTGGTACAACAATATACCAACTAAATCTTATCAAGATAATACCTAAGTTGCAATTAAGTATTTTTTATGATGTCATTGGTGACATCATTAGTTGTAAATTTCTTCTATAATAGAACATTCTTGCTCATTTGTAGAACACCAAATTAGAGAAAAAAATCATTTTGAGAGCAAAGTGAGATATTCCATAGACTATACAAGGAAAATAGTCTGTGAAGAAAAATAGAGTGTGAGCAATATTTTAGTAAGGTGGAAATCAAAAGAGTGTTGTTCCTTTAGAGTGTGTAGTAGTCACTTTGAGTATTGTATTTGTGATTACACGGTGTAAAATTTCTTACTGATATCAGCTGCTCCTCTTGGCCCGTGATTTTTCCCTTATTGAGAAGGGTTTTCACGTAAAATTCTTGTTGTCATTATTTTCCCATTTTATTTCCTTTACTTTTACCATATATATTTTTGTGTTTATTTGTGTTTTCCCAACAAACTGGTATCAGAGTCAAGGTTTTATCTGAGTGTGCTCTGTGGTTGCAGCACAGTCTGAACTTCCACATTGGAAAAAATTTACTTTGATTTGCGATAAGTATATTTTTTGGGGAAAACGATGGAAGTCAACACAAGTAGAATAGTTACTTTGAATGGTTATGCCATGTGGAAGGGAAAATGGAAGATCTAATTTATGTTAATAGTTTTTTCAAAGCAGTATTTACCACTGTAAAGCCTGATAATAAAACAGATGAAGAGTTGAATCTGTTGCACAGACAGATTTGTGGATTCATTAGGCAATGGGTCGACGATAATGTGTTGAACCATATTTCTGGGGAAACACAAGCTCGAACCCTATGGGAGCATCTTGAAAGTTTATATGCTCGGAAGACTGTCAACAACAAAATGTTCATAATAAAGAAGATGTTGAGTTAAAAGTATCATGATAGTTCTCCGATGACAGACCATATAAATAATTTTCAGGGGATCATGAATCAGTTATCTGCAATGGGCATCAAATTTGATGAAGAAATTCAATGCTTGCTTCTACTTGGTTCCCTACCAGACTCTTGGGAAACATTTAGAATGTCATTGTCAAATTATGCTCCGGATGGTGTGATCGCTATGATTCCGCCAAGAGTAGTGTCTTGAACGAAGAGATGAGAAGAAAAACTCAAGGTTCTTCTTCTTCGGATGTCCTGATAACTGGCCCCAGGGGGAGAAACGAAACTTGTGGTTCTCATTATAGAGAACAAAATAGGAGAAAATCCAGAGGCAGACTTAAGGATATTGAGTGTTATCATTGTGGTATGAAAGGGCACACAAAGAAATTCTGCAGGAAGTTGAAGAGGGAGAACAAAATCAAAGAGGAAACTAAAGAAGATGACAATGAAAATTGCCTAGCCACCATCACCACCGAAGATCTTTTTACCATTCTTGATGCAGACATGATAAATATTGCTTGTGATGAGTCAAGCTGGATTGTGGACACTGGTGCCGCATATCATGTGACATCATGGAAGGATTTTTTTCTTCATATACTCCTGGTGATTTTGGAACCTTGAGTATGGGTAATGAGACTGTTTCTAGGGTGGTTGGTATTGGTACAATTTGTTTGGAAACTAGTGTTGGAAGTAAACTAGTTTTGAACAATTTGAAACATGCTCCTAATGTTCGTCTGCATTTAATTGTTGTTTGTTTTTTAGACGAAGAAGGATATGTTAGTACCAACAGTGATGGAAAATAAAAGCTCATTATGGGGTTCCTTGGTTGTGGCTCGTGGTAATAAACGTCATGGTCTATACTAGACTACGACCTCTGCTTCTATTGATATGGTGAATGCGGTTGAGATTTATATCTCCTCAACATTATGGCACAAGAGACTTAGCCACATCAGCGAGAAAGGACTTAATGTTCTAGCCAAGAAGAATTTTTTGTCAAATTACAAAAGTGCTAAATTAGAAAAGTGTGAGCACTGCTTGGGTGGTAAACAAAATAGAGTTTCCTTTAAGTCCTACCCCCTTCGAGAAAGACAGAGTTGCTTGAGTTGGTGCACTCTGATTTATGTGATCCAATGAAGACAAAGACATTGGGTGGTGCACTCTACTTTGTCACTTTTATTGACGATTGCTCGAGAAAACTTTGGGTCTATGTCTTGAAGACTAAAGACCAATTGTTAGGTGTCTTCAATCAGTTTTAGGCTTCAGTTGAAAGAGAAACTGGAAATAAACTGAAATGTATTCGTACTGATAATGGTAGTGAATATTGTGGACCATTTGATGAATACTTCAAGCATCAAGGTATTAGACACCAGAAGGCTTTCTCCTAAGACTCCTCAGCTTAATGGTTTGGCTGAGAGTATGAACAGGATCTTGATGGAAAAAGTTAGATGTTTGCTTTCTAAAGCAAAGTTGCCGAACTCATTTTGGGGTGAGACTTTATTGACCGCTGCACATGTTATTAATCTATATCCTGCTATTGCTTTGCAAAGTGATGTTCCAAATAGTGTTTGGTATGGAAAGGATGTTTCCTATGACCATTTGACAGTATTTGGTTGAAAAGCTTTTGTACATGTGCCGAAATATGAGAGGTAAAAGTTAGATTCCAAGACAAGGCAATGCATCTTCATTGGATATGAACTAGATGAATTTGGTTACAGGCTATATGATTTTATTGAAAAGAAACTTGTGAGAAGCCGTGATATTATTTTCAAGGAGAATCAAACAATTAAAGATATTGACAAAGCGGAGAAGGTAGAATCTTCAAGTTTTGATGGTATAGTTCATCGTGATGAAGTTCCTCACACAAGTGTGCATGATGTTGTTGGGATTGATGATCATGGTAACGCCCATAATCATGCATCGGATAAACATGTTAATGTTGATAATAACAATGATATTGTTATTTATGATCCTGTTGCTCATGAAGTTTTGGACGAATCAAATATTCCAGTTCGGAGGTCCACAAGGCAACTGTTTCCTTCCTTCCGTTATTCACCCGATGATTATGTGTTATTCACTGATGGGGGAGAACCTGAATGTTATGAGGAGGCCATGGAAGATGAGAACAAGGATAAAGTGATTGAAGCCATGCAAGATGAGATGAAATCTTTGCATGAGAAACATACTTATGAGTTGGTAAAATTGCCCAAGGGCATGAGATTTGAAGAACAAGTGGGTGTTCAAATTTAAAGTTGAAGAACACAACTTGAAGCCCATGTACAAAGCTAGATTGATTGTTAAGGGATTTGGTACAAACAAAGGGCATTGACTTTGACGAAATATTTTCTCCTGTTGTGGAAATGTCCTCAATTCTCATAGTTCTAGGTTTGACTGTTAGTCTTAATTTAGAGATTGAGCAGATGGATGTGAAGACAACTTTCCTTCACGGTGACCTAGAAGAAGAGATTTATATGGAACAACCTGAGGGCTTCAAAGTAGATGGTAAAGAAAATTTTGTGTGCAAACTCAGAAAGAGTCTATATGGCCTAAAGCAAGCTCCTAGACAGTGCTACAAGAAATTTGAATATGTTATGGGGGAGCAAGGCTATAAGAAGACGTCTTCAGATCATTGTGTATTTGTATAAAAAATTTCTGACAATGATTTTATCATCCTTTTGTTGTATGTAGATGATATGTTGATTGTGGGCAAGAATACTTCCAAAATTTACGAGTTGAAGAAAGAGTTGTGTAAGTCTTTTTCTATGAAAGACTTGGGTCATGCCAAACAAATTTTGGTCATAAGTCAGAGATGAAAGGAAGATTTATTTGTCCTAGAAGAAGTACATTGAACGTGTACTGGAGCGCTTTAATATGAAGAATGTTAAGCCTGTTAGTATACCTCTTACGGGTCAAATGAAGTTGAGCAAGAAGATATGTCCTACAGCTAGGGAGGACAACGAGAACATGTCCAAAAATCCATATTCCTCCGTCGTTGGAAGTCTAATGTATCAAATGGTATGCACTAGAACTGATATTGCTCACGCAGTTGGCGTTGTGAGTAGATTTCTCAAAAATCCAGGAAAAGAGCACTGAGAAACTTTGAAGTGGATACACAGACATCTTAGAAGAATCTCAGATGAATGCTTGTGTTTTGGAGCATCAAATCCAATCTTGAAAGGCTATACAAATTTTGATATGGCAGGTGACCTTGATAACAAAAAATCCACTATTGGATATTTGTTTACTTTTTCAGGGGGAGCTATATCATGGCAGTTGAAGTTGTAGAAGTGTGTTGCACTATCTACAACTGATGTTGAGTATATTGTGGCTACTGAAGTCAGCAAGGACGTGATATGGCTAAAGCGAGTTCTTCAAGAACTTGGTTTGTATCTGATAGAGTACATTGTCTATTGTGACAACCAAAATGCAATAGACTTGAGTAAGAACTCCTCGTACCATGCAAGAACAAAATACATTGATGTAAGATATCATTGGATTCGTGAGGAAGTGGAGAGTGAACATTCACATAAAAAAGATTCACACAAGTGAAAATCTTGCAGATATGTTGACCAAGACGATACCGAAAGACAAGTTTGAGTTATGCAAACAACTTGTGGGTATGAGCTCTCTCTAGAAGATAAAGATACCTCCTTCCAATGAATGGGTCTGGAGGGGGAGATTTGTGGGGTTCCAGCCCCATATTGTTTTTACTCAAAGTCCTAATCTGGTACAACAACATACCAACTAAATCTTATCAAGATAATACCTAAGTTGCAAAGTGTGAAACTTAAGTATTTTTTATGATGTCATTGGTGACATCATTAGTTCTAAATTTCTTTTATAATAGAACATTCTTGATCATTTGTAGAACACACCAAATTAGAGAAGAAAACCATTTTGAGAGCAAAGTGAGGTATTCCATAGACTATACAAAAAAAATAATATATGAAGAAAAATAAAGTGTGAGCGATATTTTAATAAGGTGGAAATCAAAAGAGTGTTGTTCCTTTTGAGTGTGTATTAGTCATTTTGAGTATTGTATTTGTGACTACACGGTGTAAA